ACAGCATTTGCAATAGACTCACAGGTTAACCAAACATCTTTGCATCACCCCTCTGTTCCACAATGACCTCTATGTCCAAACACGCACTCAAAAGCAAGCTCAATCTACACTTAGATTCATTGCAAATGTAAAAAAACACATACAGTCCAGTCCTCAGTTTCTTAATGAAGTTGTTGTTTTTCACTCAACAGATGCCTTAAGATTAACCCCGACAAGGGATCCAAAGTGGAGTGGAACACGTCTAAGAAAAACCTTGCAGTCAATCCAAAGGTTCTGACGTTGATCACCAAAATTGCGGACTATGAGTGGAGAGCATAAAAAGTTCTTATTTTTATCCTGAGGATAACCTTATCTGTTATTCACTAACACTGGTCTCTGGTTCATGGTCAATGTCAACAGCACGGGTGGCCCGCTTGATAGGGGAAAAGTGAAATATCGGCTGCAAATCCTATTCACATTTAGCTAGCATTAGTGCTAGCCAGTTGGTATGTTACTGTCTGCTGACAGGCTCTCTGTCACTGTGTCCTGCTTTAGGTGTAGCATTGTCTTAAGTATTATCTTCATCTCAGTTCATTGTAATAAGCTATACTTTCACACTTGTGGTGCTTGCTCTGCAGGCACAGTCCCATTCGTTCAGTTATTTTGGTAAAAGTTTGTGTTAAAGTGACAACTTACAACATATCAATACTTATCAGTTAAGTATAATCAGCATAACAATGAGGCTTTTGTTTTACTCGAGTTGTTCTTTGCATATGATTACTTTGCAAATTTCTCCAAGGGAACTCAAATGGCCAGCAGCAGCCCTGAATGTGAGACTTTCAGAAAGCTAGAGCTACTTCTAAACCTGCAGGTTATGGGCCTCAAATATACCCCTTTTCGTTGCTCCAGATGTGGGGAGGCAGATGAATGTTCGAGGTGGCATCGTCCCCTTCTTTTGTGCTCAAGTGTGTGTTTGCATTAGATTCTTTTTTTCTACATGCCTTTGTTTATGCATAAGTGGTAGTTGTTCTTGGATTGTTCCAGGAAGGGTTATCTTTTTGTCAATAAAATCAATGTTAATGATTGAAACAATGTCTCATGTCTTATAAGTAAAATAAACACGTACAAACTGCTCATACACATGAATTAACATAATCTTGATGTAATTATAATCAGGGGTTTTGTTTAATAAGGGTTCTTTGGGTGTTTTGTGACAGATAAAACCCACAATCTTACAGGGAGCACACTTAATTCAAACTGAAAGTCCAGTAAATATTCAGGAAATGTATGTTAAATTACACTTAAAATCTAAATTTACATGTGATATTATGTAAAATTAACAGTGAATTGTAATTTTAAAGCCACTATCTAGTCTTTTTGACATGTTTTGAAAGATAAATTGAATTATTTTGTGTTGTATAATGTAGTATTACATCAAATATAATTGAATATACAACTTTTTAAAATCAAGTAGTGTTATTTAACCCAACTGTTAACTGTATATTTCTGTACATTTAAGCATTATTATTCATATTGCCACATTCATTGACCTTGTTTATAGGTAATTTCATTGTTTAATCACGTTAAAATGTTCCTAATTTAATGTTTAAAAGCACATGGAAAAGGCAAAATCCCATGTAAAATTAGCGCAACAAACTCTATTTTCATTACTGAAAATAATTGTATTTTTATGAGAAAGTTATTTTCTGTTATTTTACGGTATTATTTTGGCACCCCAGCTGGTGGAATATTACTGTTTTTTTACGATGTTTTTTTTAACAGTGTACCTTTGACGTTGTGTGACGAACTCTGTATTCCTCGTCCACACGTAAACGCAAAAAAGGATTTTTAAAAAATCTGTTTTGGGTGATTCGAAATGCTGTTTATGTGTGGACAAAACAGCTGCTTTTTCAAAAATACCCGTGTAGGTGTGGCTGTAGCATAAAAGAGTTAGTAGTTTATTTTATTACTACCTGTAATTTATTGCAGATTACTTTTATTTGCTTAACTGTTTACTAAA